CCATTGGGGTTTTACTTTTTGTTTAATGTGCTTATTGGCCATTTGCAGAAATATATCTTCTTTGCAGAAATATATATTCAGATCCTTTTTCCATTTTTATTATTTTTTAAAATATTTAATCTCTATGCCCAATGTGGGGCTCAAACTCATGACCCTAAGATCAAGAATCACATGCTCTACTGGCTAAGTCAGCCAGGCGCCCCACCTTTGCCCACTTTTAAATTGGGTTACTTGTATTTTTATCATTGAGTTCTTTTTATCTAGAATCTGACTTCTTCATATATTCTAGATACAAATCCCTTATCAGAGATGTGACTTGCAAATATTTTCTCCCATCCTGTATTTGTCTTGGTACTTTCTTGATGGTGTCCTTGGAAGCACAAAGGTTTTAATTTTGATGGTGTTGAATGTATCTGTTTTTTTTCTTGATTGTACCTGTGGCATTATGTCAATTTTTGCCTAATCCAAAGCTACAACTATGTACATCTATGTTTTCTTCTATGTGTCAGCTTTTACATTTTTAGGTTTTTGCTCCATTGTGATTTTTTTTTTACATGGTATGAGGAAGGGGTCCAAATTCATTCTGTTTCATGGGGAAGATCCACTTGGCCTATTGCCATTCATTGAAAAGTATTGTCTTCCCCATAAATGGTTTTGACATCCTTGTCAAAAATCAATTGACCGTATATGTGAGGGTTTATTTCTGGGCTCTCGATTCTATCCTATTGGCATGTATTATCTGTCCTTATAGTCATTCCTGTAGCTTTGTATAAGGTTTGAAATCAGGAAGTGAATCTTCCAATTTTGTTCTTTGTTTTCAAGATTGTTTTTGCTATTCAGGGTTCCCTGTATTTCCATATGAATTTTAGGCTTAGCTTATCAGTTTCTGTAAAGAAGACAGCTGAGTCAACAACCCTTTGAGGTAGGAACATATTATCCCAGTTTTACAGATGAGAAAACTGAGGGCTGGAGAAGTCAACTGCTCATGGTCACATGACTAGGAAATGGCTGAGCCCAGGGTTCAGACCACCATGCCAGCTCCAGGGGATGCCATGCTCCTCACTCATCATTCTCAAGAACAGAGCATGAGCTCTGGGCCAGCTCTCAGGTGGCAAAAGCCTGAGGGTTTATGGCCAGTGAACCACCAGCTGGAATTAGAGAAGGTCCTCTGTATGGTGGCACCTGAGCAGGGCATGGAAGGGAAATCACTCCTTCTCCTGGGGCTCCAGTTCTTCCTACCTTAGTCTCAGCCTGAGTAACTAGGGGGCTTAGTCAAGGGAGAGGTGACCCCAAGCTTCCGGGCACAAAACTCTCCTGTTACTTAACCCAAGATGGTACCATAGTAGCCAGGGATTGGACCAAAGGGTTTTTTCTTTGTGATTCCGGGACAGTGTCCCCAGCATTCCAGTTAGAGGTTCTGTTCCTGCAGGCCTGCCTTCAGCAGTTACTAAGTGGGTCCTGGGGATACAAACTCATGTAGTGGGGAGCCAGAGCAGGAGGCAGGGAAGTAAATTCAGAGCCCTGAGCAGCACAGGACATGAGAGGCATTCAGGGGAGAAGGAGTCTCAGGCTGTAGGCATTTTGGAGTGAGGGCCAGTGCCAGACCCTGCACTGCGGCAGTAGTGGGGACCATCGGTGACCATCGGTGTCCTTGGGAGAACCAAGTCCAGGTACATCCCTTGAGCCCAAGGAGCAAGGTCTTTCCTCCCTGGTCAGCCTGGCTCCCTTAGTCCTTCTTTCCACCTCCCCTCTCCTCCCGCCTTTCCTGCCCCAGGTGACTCCAAGAGGGCCAGGGAAGCAACAGAGTTCCCAAATCAGACCCTATAAACTTCTTTGTGAGAGGAGCAGAGGTCTAGACATCCCTGTCCGTGACCCTGGCCTGGACCACTCTTGGTTGTTCCCACCCCTTCATTTCCTGCTTCTAATCCAGGCTTCCTTTCCCCATCCCTCCCCCACCACCGCTCTTCTTCCTCTCCCTTCCCTCCAGGCTCCGGAGCACAGGCCACTTTTGGGAGTCGACTGAGGTGAGTGGAAAGGGCTCCAGCTGGGCTGCGGCCATCCTGGGTGCCAGCCCTGGCCCTGCCTCTAACTTCCCTGTCCCCTTGAGCAACTCCTGCCCCATGTGGGCACATCTGTCTCACGAGAGAGACAGTGGTCAGTTCCAGCACATCGTTCCAGGGTCTACCAACCCAGGCTGGTGGGGCTCTAGGCTCGCACCCACCTTCTTGGCCCCTCACCCCTCACCCACGAGGTTAGAGCAGGTGGTACTGCTCCCAGGGCCTGTCCCGCCTCCCTGTGGCTTCAGGACTGAACACCGGGATTGTCTTCACCAATAATAAGTGGGGTTTGTGCAGGAGTGGAGAGCGCCTCTATCTTCCTGCAGCCCCAGCAGCAGCCCCTTCTGGTTGTTGCCCTCCTGGCAGGGAGGCGGGGGCTTCTGGTCCACCGAGCCCCCAGCTCGCACTTGTTCTCCACCTGTACCCTGAAGTGGTCCTGGGAGAGTTTTAAAATCTGTCCATAACTTTGACTCTACTCCCATCAAAAAGTGGAATGTGGGGCAGCCAGGGCGGCTCAGCAGTTTAGTGTCTGCCTTCAGCCCGGGATGTGATCCTGGGGTCCTGGGATGGAGTCCCACATCAGGCTCCCTGTATGGAGCCTGCTTCTCCCTCTACCTGTGTCTCTGCCTGCCTCTCGTTGTCTTTCGTGAATAAATAAATAAAATATATTTTTTTAAAAAGTCGAATGTAATTCCCCTCCCTGGAATAGGACCGGCCTCAGCAACTTGCCTCTAGTGGGTAGAACGTGGCCAAAGTGACACCACGTGATGTCCGGGGTTGGATTCAAGATGATCAGTTTTGGCCTGGCTCTAGTCACTCGTCCTTGGATCGCCACCATGCTTTGAGGACCCGAGGCCACAGGGAGAGGCCATGTGGGGGTGCCGGGGCCAGCAGCCAGCATCAGCCACCAGACATGAGAGCCAGCAAGCCTTCCGATGATTCCAGCCCCAGGCTTCAAGCTGCCCCTGTCGGTGCCCGGAAAAGCAGACAACTGTCCTCCTGAGCCCTGCCCAAACCACAAGTGTATGAACAAAATAAATGTTAGATTAAGCCACGAAGTCAGGGGTGGCTTGTGACAGAGCATTAGACAATCGGAGCAGGTTGCAAGCCCTGGCGGCTCTCTGCCCAAAGACCCTGTGTGTATGGGGCCGGGTGTCTTCAGCCTGAGGCCATGGGACTATTTGAGATTAGGAGCCAGATTCCAGTCAGCACCCCCCACCACCCCCCACCCAACTTTGACGCCTATTTCTGCTAATCTTCCTAATTGGAACCCTGCTTCCCTTTACCTTTGCTTGGTTCGTCCTTGTTAGAACAGCCCTGCTTATATTTGCATGTAATTTGTGTATAATTTGCATACATCTACATGGGTCATATTAGGTGGTTTCTAAATGTTTCCAGATGCCTCTCTGGGGAGGGTACTAGCATCTTGGACTCTTGGAGGGGACAGGGGCACCTGGTCTACTCCTGTCCGCTGCAAGATCTGCTTGAACAGATGACAAACCCATCACCTTCCCAGGCAGCCCTTGGATGGCTGGCGGCATCGAAGAATTCCTGTGTTGCAAAGTTCTGTGTCAAGAAAGGTGAGGTTTTAGGTCTATATTGGGGTTTAGCTCTTTTCTCTGGGAAAATCAGGGCAAGTCAACCACCTCCCCTGGAGACTCAGGACAGGTTCCGCGGTGAGTCAGGTTTCTCAGTTTGGCGTCCACACACCATCACTGTTTCTGGCCTGGCCTCGGCCCAATGGCCCCTGCACACCTCTTCCAGAAGTGCCAGGCCAGGGGCTTTCAAATGTTCTCTTAGGAGCAGAACCCTGTTTTCTCTCTCACAGCCCTGAGATCAGAATCTGAGCTGAAATCAAGAGTTGGACACTTAACTGACTGAGTCACCCAGGCACCCCCAGAACCCTGTTTTCAAATGAAATCTCATGAAGAGCCCAACATATAAGACAGATGGAAGTGGAGCTGCTCTCGTTGAGTATGCGCAAGGAGAGTGGAATCCCCCTGCAGAGAGGTTCACCCCCATACCCTCTCCACAGCTGGAGAAGCCCAGCTTGCAAATCACTATTTTGGTTTGCTCCTTGAAAAAAATGCCTCTGGGTATGGAGCCCAGCCCCCTAGAGCTTCCCAGGGGGAGCTCTGACTCTGTTTCTGTGGTAGAGGCAACACTGACCTTAGCAGTTGCATCGCACCACTGCCTTTTACTAAGCTTGAGGCCCCCTGAGACCTCAGGGTCTTTGTCAGCACAACCACCTTTAAGCCAAGTCTCTCTCGGCCTATCCCGAGTTTTGGCAGCTCCAGACCTGGCTCTGGAGCCTGGACTGAGGAGCAGACAGGGAGTAATGGAGACGCCCGGATGGGGATTATGGCTGTATGCCCTGGAGAGAGTCACTCAGCCAGATCCCATTCCCCAACTTTAGATTGGGGACGAAAATAGTCCTTCCTGGTAGACAATGCATGAAGAGTACCTGGCTCAGTATGGGTGAGCTGTCACTACAGAGCCGAGGGACTGGCCTCAGATTCTCACTGCGGGCTAAGGAGATGCTGAGAGGTGGTCGGCACCCAGACCCTGGAACCCGATGGCCTGGTCTGGACACAAACTCTGATCCTGCCACGAGTGGCTGTGAGATTTTCAACATAGCCTTCATTTCTCTTCTCCTTTGTTTCATCATCTGTAGAATAAGGTGATAATAACTAGACTATCCACCCCCCCCAGAAAGGTCGTGGGGACCCAGGGGACCTAGGGGACCTCCGTATGTGTGCAGGGCCCAGGATGCATGGTGCCCTAAGTGGTACACCGGGCGGGGGGGGGGGGGCTGCTGTTGTTCTTATTCTATTCTGGGCTCTGAATTTGTGAGGGTCGGCCTGGCCCACCGCTGGCCACCCTAACCCCAGCACTCCCACCCCTCCCAGGACCCGACACAGCCACCAAAATACTCAAGGTTCACTTTGGCAACAGGACTTTTATTCAGTCAAAATGAGTAGAATGTGACAAAAGTCAGGTCAAGTCAGGCCAGGTGGCTCCTCATCCTGCTCCTACCCCAGACCACTCTTCCCATGGGAGAGGGGTCTGCAGGATTGCAGGGGTGGGGCACAGAGAGGCCAATGCGGGGACACAGGGGGCACCGAGTGGGAGTTCTGAGGGCCTTTGGCATAGGCCCAGCATTTGGGAGGAGGGGTGGACTGCCATTTCCCAAGTCCACATGGACAACTCCAGTCTTCTAGGAAAACACCACAAATCCTACCTTCTTTATCTAATTAACTAAATTTAAGGGGGGGTTCCCTAGAGGGTTGGGGGTCAGGGACTTTATGGTCTAATCTCATACTTAAGGGATACACTTATCTTTTTTTTTTCCTTTAAAAAAAAGTTTTCCTTCTATTTAAAAAAATGAGTTAACCAAAAATAGGTATTTGTTTCCTTGGTTGTTTTTTTTTTCTTCTTCTTTCTACTTTAAGTATTTCAAAAAACACCACGACAGAAAAAGAAAAACAAGAAGTCACAAGAACATAAATCTTTAAACACACCTTGTATAAAAATATCTTCCAGCCACATCTGCAGACAGTGGTCATTTCACTGTCCAGGGGTTGGGTCAAGCAGGCTGCGTCCCATGGGACAGAGGGCTGGGCCACCTCTGCCAGGGAACCCCCCGATCCAACACGCGCACACCGGTCACACACACGGTACCCACCGGGGCCCAGCCTGCTGCAGGGCTCTGTGTCCGGGCAGGACAGGAGGCAGGCTGTGGGGTGACGCCCCACCCCTGAGGCCTGGGCAGGGAGAAGGTCATCGGGATGGATCCCAGTCAAGGAGCAGTTGGCCAAGGGGTCAGAATTGGGAGTGGACAGATGAGACCAGGTGGGGCAGCGGCAGCGTGCTGGAAGGTGGCTGGTTTGGGGTGATTTATACTTCAAGGAACACCTTTTCCTCTAATTTTTGGCTTCTTTTCACATTTTCTTTGACTCATCCCATCTTTATTTCTGCAGGTCCTGAGAGGCCCACCGTTGGTGACTTAGCCTCTGGCCTCCTCTCTGGGGGGCGATAGAAGGGCTGCGGGCAGGAGGAGGGTCCAGTGATACAACACAGGCCCGGACAGACGGCGAGCCTTGAGGTAGAGGTTTTCTTTCACACCTGGAAATGGGGAAGTGCCTTTTTTTTTTCTTTTTCTTTTTTTTTTTTTTAAACTCTAGACGACAATATGGGGAGGGAGAGGGGGTGCCCCTATAGGGGCTTGAGGTAGGAGTGCATTTGGGGCTCTGTGGGGTGGGGGGGGCTGAGGCCACGGCCCAGCTCCCCCAAGAACATTCATTCCGGCTGAGGTAGGTACTGAGAGCCAAACAGCAAAAATCCATCCTGAGAAAACAAGGTGGTGGAGGGTGACAGTGTCAGGGGCCCAGCCACAGCAGGGGCGTATTTTTGGAGTCTAATTCACTGTCCTCTCTTCTTCTTCTTTTTTTTTTTTTTTAAAGGAAAACATTAGTTCAGTTTCAAGTCATGTGGACACCAAGCAGAAGTGAGGGGGGACGGGCTCCTCCAGGAACCCCTCCAGGTCCTGGGGGGTCCCTGCTGAGGCTACTTTAGATCTTGACCACCTGAGGGGCAGTTGGGACAGAAATGCTGGGAAGTCCCCATCCGAGTCCCACATGACAGGATAAATCTTGCCTTTGACCTGAGAACGGGGTGGGGGGTCACCTCCTCCAGCACCTGCCAGACACTGGCTACTGTCTCAAGCAAGCCGGCTGGGCAGCTGGTGCCGTGGAAAGCCGGGGAGCCTGTCCTTCACTGAGGAGGCCGGGGCCTGTGTTCTGGGGTGGCAGGGCAGCCGCCAGGCCTGGGCAGGGGGCCTTGGCTTCTGACATCATCTCCTCCAGAAGGCTGAATCCCTCAAGCGGCAGCCTGGAGAACTGGGTCTCCTCACACAGCGCAGGGGCCCCAGGATCCTGCTGGGGAAAGGGCCAGTCACGCAGGCGTCAAGCCCACGAGCCCCCAGCCACAGGGTCAGGCCCTGGGCCCCATCCCCAGGGACTCCAGGCCCCCCTGCCTGATTCAGGCGCTCCTAGGGCAGCACCAGCCATACTCTGTGCCTGGAGCTTGGTAAAGGGCGACGACCAAGGTGAAGGGAACGCAGGATTGGGAGGTGGTGGTCTGAGCCTGAAGCAGGAGGCCAGCTCAGGGTGGGGGCACTCACCATGGCTCTGGGGTCAGGTCTGGGGTCTGGCCCCCCTGCTGCCCCAGCTGGAGGGAACAGCTGTTCCAGTTCTTTCGCATCCACAAGCTTCTTATCTCGGCCCAGAGGGGCCCGCTCTCCCCGGCCCGCCCCGTTCAGTGCCAGGATGCCAGGATCCCTTGGGCTCCGGGCGCCCTGAGGAGGGGAGAGCTGGTTCTCTACATCCTTACACAAGAGGACCCTAAGGGGTGAGCCAAGAATTAGGGGGAGGGTTCAGGGGGAGGAGCAAAAACAAGGATGGACGCAGTGAGCCCCCAACTCTGCTCTCCCCACGCTGTCCCCCACCCTCCTGCCCCGGACCCACCTGCCCCTTTGGCCGAACAGGAGGAAGAGGACACAGAAGATGATGCAGGTGACCCCAATGTGAATGCCAATGACGATGCCTGTGGTGGACGTTTGGTTGGTGGCTTCCTCCTTCCGGCAGTCACAGGGTGGGCTCAGGGCTAGGGGCGGGGGCAGGTTGGGAGCTGTGGCTCTCCTGGCCTGCAGCACCTCTGGACACCCAGCCTCTGGGGGCTCCTCCTTCCTCAGCTGTTCCCACTTCCATGTCTGCACTGCCTTTGCCTTATGGGACCTCAGCCTGACTTTTTTTGGGTCTCTTTACCACCTTTGTGCCAGATACTGGAAATGACACTTTACGTGGACCATCTCATCCTTACCACAGCTTTATAAAGTAGGTATTATTATCCCTGTTTTATAGAGGACAAAACCGGGCTCAGAGAGGTGGAGTAACTTGCCCATGGCCACACAGCCAGGGTGCTTTACTGCCGAACTTCCAACTCAGGTGTAAGCCTGTGTTCTCAAGGGCTGCATGCACCGTCACACTCTCCTCCTCTCCCCCTCTCCCCATCCCTGTCCCCCCTCCTCCCTCGGCACCTGGCCTCCCCGCAGGAGCCTGGCAGCCCCTCCCCCGACATACCTGTCCTCTCAGATGCTCCCCTCAAAGACACGAAGCGGACTGTGGCATTGCCCTCCCCGTGCTGGTTGTAGGCGAGCAGCTTCACCTCATATACTGCAGTGGGGTCTGAGGGAAAGGCAGCGCTGTGCTGAGAGCTCTCCCCAGCCCCCAGGGGCAGCTCTGTTGCCGCAGGGAGGGAGGTGACCCCTGTGCCCCAGCGCCAGCCACCGCACCCCTGCCCGGCTCCCCAAGTGCGATCTGATCTGCGTCCGCCTCACCGAGCTGGCTGAGGTTGTAGGAGGAGACAGTTGCAGGCAGCAGGATGGGGCCGGTGAAGGAGGCCCTGCTCGCTGGGCGGTACAACAGCTTGAAGCCGCCCTCGTGCTGGGCCAGCCGGGGCCAGGGCTCCCACAGCAGCTGCAGGGAGGAGCTGCCCAGGACCCGCACCGACAACGGGGGTGGGGCGGGGGCTGCGGGCACAGGAGGCCAAGATGGGGGGGGCTTGCCACCTGCCACCTGTGACCCTGCACCCCGCCCGCCCCACAAGCCTGGCAGCTCTCTGGCCGCTGCTTGCATGAAGAATTGGAAAAGGATGTGCCTTTCTCCAAGTGGGCTTGGTGGGGACAGGCGCCGGGTGGTGTAGGCCCACCCTGAACAAACATGCGGGTGTTTTGCTCTAACTCCTGGACTATGTGGTAGTGCGCTCCAGGCCTGGGCCTCACCTTCACCCAGGGTGCTGGCCAGCACAGGGGCAGAGGCTGAGCTGGCCCCCCTCGTTGTGTAGGCCTTGATGTAGAAGCTGTAGGCGGTGGAGGGTTCGAGGTCGCTCAGCAGGTGCTGAAAGGTACTTTTGCTGAGTGCCTCCTGGTACTCCAGCTCCGGGGGGTCTGGGGAGATGAAGGGGAGGGTTGTGTCAGGGGCACGAGGGAGTCCCACCAACACCGGTGAGAGGAGGGCATCCGGGGTGCAGGGGGGCGGGCAGACGCAGGAGGGAAGGGGTTGGGTCAGGACACGCAGGATTGAAAGAGATGATCAACTGTGAATAAAAAGAAGGGGCTCTACAGAGCCCCCCTCACCAGCAGCCTTCCTGATGTGCAGGACATAGCCAATAATCTCCTTGGTGTTGACCAAGGGTTCATTCCAGGACACGCGGACCTCGGTGGATGACACAGAGACCGCCTGCACGTTGAGGGGGGGCCCAGGCAGCCCCTCAGCCCATAGTACGGTCAGCCTGGCACTGGCCTGCGAGGAGCCAGCACTGTTCTCGGCCACGCACTGGTAGATGGCCTCATCTTCAGGGCCGATTCCAGAAATCGTCAGGGTGCTGCAGGGGCAGGGAGAGCCTCAGGTCCGGTCCCCTCCTCCTCCCCGCGTGTCCCTGCAATTTGGCCAAACCACCCCATTTGAGAGATGGAGAAACTGAGCCCCCTCCAGAAGATAAACAACGAGTCTGAGGTCTCTCGGGAGGGCAGCAGCGGAGCTGGAGCTCGCCTCAAGTCTCCAGAGCCAATTAAGCGCTCTTTCCTGGCAGGAGGGGCACAGCCTGCTCAGGCCCCTCAACCGCATCTTCCCGGTTCTCACCCCAGCCCACACCACACACGTGCCTGTTGTTATTCTTGAGCCTGACATGGCCTCCTGGGCCCAGCACCTGTCCGTTCTTCAACCATGTGACATGAGGGGGCGGCTCCCCCTGGGCTTGGCAGGTGAACATGGCCGTGGTCCCGGCAGGCCTGGAGATGGACTGGGGGTGCTGGACAAACTCGGCTGGGGCTGGGGGGGGCGGGGCAAGACAGCTGTGAGTGAAGCAACGGGTGCGTATGGGGATAGCGTGGGCTTGTGATGCACACGTCCACCCCTTAGAGTCCTCAAGGTGGGGCCCACCCTGTGCCCTGGCCCAGGCTCTAGGAGCTGATGGCAGGCCCCACCTCACTGGCCCCAGAGAGGCAGACCCAGGAGAGGACTCCATTTTAATGACTATTTAAAAGACTGACATTTGTATCCGAAAGCAATCAAGCTGAGCTCCCTGTTCAGGAAATTGTTAAATAAATAAATGTGCTAATAGGTTTGGCTGCACCTCCGAAGGCGCGAAGGCGCGCGTAATGACGGGGAGATGGATGGGCCCTTGGTACCAGCTCCCCTCGCCTCTACGTGCAATTCCCCCCTCCTCCAATCCCCAGCCTCCAGCTTCCATTAGCACCAGAGAAATGAAATGCTCCATCACTTTCATTTGGACAGATTAACGGCACATGGAATGCTAAACAAACAGGCATTTAAGTTCCTAATTCCCCTACCTCCCACCCCTTCCCTAGCTCTCTGCGGGGGAGCCACCCCAGAAAACCCGAGACTAGGATCCCAGCCCAGTTCATGAGGACAGTGGAGCCCCAGGGCAGGAGGATGGACAGAACCACCTGACTGGCCTCAGAGGCTAAGCCCACTACCAGCACCACCACCCCTCGGCCCTGAACCCACCCTGTGCGTTAGAGACCAGTTGCGCCTGCGCATGCACAGCAGGAGCTGGGGTGTGAGTGTGAGAATGACAAACACCTGAGAGCGTGCAGGCAGGTGCCACGTGTGTGAATGAAAACTGCACGTGGGCAAGAGGGACACATGTGAAGAGCACGGGGTTGGGGGAAGCAGCTGAGATTATAAAATGGGAATGATGGGGGGGGGGTGGAGGGAGGCCAAGGGTCCCACGTGGGGGGCCAATAGCCAAGAATGTGATCCTATTCTCAGCACACGCATTCCTGGGGGAGAGGTGAGACCTGCCTTTTGGCCTGGGGAGATGAAGGGGCCAGGGGTAGGAGGAGTGCAGGCCCCTGAGCTTGGGCCATGGATGTTGATGAAGCAAGGAAGGAACAGCGCACGGGGAGAGGGCTGCGGGGCTGGGGCTGGGGCTGGGGCTGGGGCGGTCCGTACCTTGCACCACCAGCCGGCCCTGTGCCGTTCTCCTCACCCGGGTGCCTGGCCTGTTGGCTGCGCAGACATAGACGCCGGAGTGCTGGACCGTCACGTCTGAGATGATAAGATTCCCGGTGCCCAGCACCTGGATGCCCTCCACCCCAATAGGGCGGCCATCTGAGGGAGAAGGGGAGGAGGAGTGAGGGGGGAGGTCACGGAGATAAGCGTGGAAGAGGGCAAGTGAATGATCCAGATTGATGGACATTCCACCGTGTTCAGGGAACCTCAGTCTACGCCTCTGCACCCTTCCGCCCAAGCATCAGGGCATTGTGGAAGAAGCAGGAGCAGTGCTGAAAACGTGCCTAGCAGCAGAGACCTGGGCTCTAAGTCTAGCATTTTCATGGATTCACTGGCAACCTTCGAGTCCCTTCCCTTCAGGAAAGTGAGGGCTGTGGATTAGATGAGTGTTTCCCAGGCTGGTTTGTCTCTCTTGAAAAAAGTTCCACATTCAAATTTTCACTCTTCTTGGGGACTGTCACGTTGCTCTTTAATATAAAGACCCTGAGAAGTCCTGCAGCAAAGGAAGCTGGTTAAATCTGTTTCCCAAAGTTGTTAGATGTTAGACCACCAAGCCATTCTTTCCTCCCTGTGGATCATGCTTTGGGAAATGCTGGACCAGATGGTCCTTGCGGTGCCTATGGGCTCCTCCTAATGGTGAGGCCACTCTTTCCAGCCTCTCCCAGGGACTGGGCCCTCCCCCCACCCCAGGATCAGATTAGCACAGTCAGAATGCAAGGAGACAGCTCCCCATTCAGTGGCTGAAGTGGTGAAATCTACTCCATTATCCTGCCTGCTGCCCCCTCCTTCCCCGATCACTCAGCTGCTACAATGTGGCACAGTCTCCTTGTGAATGCGACCCCACCCCATCCCCTCCAGACTCTCCTTCCCCTAGTGACCTTTCCGCTCAGACAATGTGGGCCCATCTGCACCCTTTCATTTCTCTCCTTCAGCTGCCTAGGGATTTAGGCTGGGGATTTAGGGGGCCAGGCTAGAGACTGGGGGGCCCAGGGACAGGGTGTGACAACTGGCTGAGATTTTGCGGGGTTTGGAGCTGCGCTGCTGGGGAACACAGCCAGGGGAGAGAGGCCAGGGACACGCAGGAGGAAGGACCCAGGGAAGGAGAGCCGGACAGCAGGGAGGCAGGACCGCACTTGGGATGAGGTTACCCAGGGAGCTAAGCCATTGAGCAGGGGGAGGGAGAATGTAGGGGGCAGGCCGACCTCCCCAGTCCTGCCAAGAAGGGAAACTTACCCTCTTCCTAAGGCCTCACAGAGCATGGACCCCCATGGAGAACAAACAGGATTCAAAGTCCTCCCCCACAGCTGGGTGATGAGACCGCCCTCCCAGGGGGTGGAATGGGGTGGGAGAGGCAGGGGCTGTAGGATGAGGCTCACCCAGGCGGCTCCAGGACACAATGGGGCGCGGGTTGCCCGTGGCGACACACTCAAGCACCGCAGTCTGGTGCACCGTCAGGGTGAGGTTCTCAGGCCCCACAAGGATCGTTGGCTCCTTGTAGGCCCCAGAGCCCGAGCCTGGGAGGAAGATGCCATGTTTCTTTCATTTCAGCTGTGACCCTTCCCACCTCATCCCACCCACAAGCCAGGACATGGGGAAGAGGGGTAGGAAACAAGATCCAGCCCCGAAACCAGTCCTGTGGGCAGAGAGGAGATGCTAGGGGCCCCAGGGCCTGCACACAGCCTGCCCTCTGCTCCCAGCCTTGCAGGGCCCTCCAGCAATGGGAGAGCCCCAGGGTAAGCAGAGGATGGCTGGTCCAGGTAGAGCGGAGCCAGGGAGCCGCCTCGTTCCCTCCGGACCCTCGCTGCAAGGAATGCAGACTTTGAGCTCCGAAGCTGCTCTACGCACTTGGCTGGCAAATCCCCAGGGCTTGGCTGAACAGGGGAGAAGTCGGGAGGCTGGTTAGGGGCAGAACTAGTCAGAGCAGGAGACACTCACCTGACACGGTGAGCCTGGCCCCGTGGCTGACCCGGACGCTGGCAATGTTGGAGGCCACGCAGTGGAAGACGCCACTGTCCTCGGCCCGAAGTCCTGTGATCTGCAGGACCCCCTTGGGCAGCAGTGTGTACCTGTTTTTGAGGGGAGGGGCACAGTTGACCACCAGCACAACCCCCGGCACCAACAGCCACACGGACGCTGACGTCACAGACCCAGCCTGGTACCCAGGTGCTGTCCCGAAGTCACCAACGTCATCACAGACACACATCAGGGAACTCTGGCGATTTCAGCTGACCGCAGTCACACACAGTCCTTGCGGATGAATCTGCCAGCCTCCAGTCTGGGCCCCGCCAGCCACGTGGACACTTGATCTCGACGCCGTTACAGAAGCACCACCCTGGAGGCCGCGGGCAGCCCTTCCCGGCCCAGACACTGACCCGCCTCTCCGGCTTCCCTCCAGCTTGCCCATGCGTGGCTCACCTCTCATCGTCCGTGTTGATGGGGACTCTGTTCTTCTCCCACGTGATCAGGGGTTTGGGAAGCCCATGGATTTGGCACTGGAAGCGGGCCACACCGCCCTCCTCGCCCACGGTGGCCTGGGGGTGCACGTGGAAGTCCGACATGGCTGGTAAAGAATAGGGACGTGTGTGTGGAAGATGCACACTGCTGAGGCATGAGGTGGGTGGCACGGAGGGTGTCACGGTCCCATGTCCTGGAGCCCCAGAACTCATCTGCCCGGGGTGGCTGAGAGCTTTCCTGGAGCTGGCACACGTTGGGCAACAGCTTGTGAGGACACACCATCACTTACCCCGCCTCCCACCATAAGAAGCCTCTCTCCCGCTAAGGGGTGGTTATGTGGCCGGGACACTCTGAGAAAGGTCTGGACACATTCTTGGACAACAAGCCCCTAACAAGGAGATCTTGGGCTGGTGATCCACAAAGGCCAGAGAAAACCCTGTCCCCAAGTCCGACTCCTCACTGTTTTAGCTGCTTTCAGATTTATTGTATAAATTCCCCCTAAGGTATCGAAGGCCCGAGTATTGCGCTGCGTGGTTTACAGAATAGGAAGCAGGTCCAGGGAGGGGAAGCAGTCAGTCCAGTGGCGCCCAGCAGAGACACCAGTCATTAGACCCTGGTTACCCGTGCCCAGCAGCCTTTTTGCCTTTCCTGGGCACCCGCATCCCCAGTTCTTCCGCTGCGTCTCGACGCACCCGCACCCGGAGAGGGTGGTATATCCATCCAAGGTGACAAGTCTCTCAGAAGACTGTCAGACCTACAATCTACATTTCAATGTGTCATAAATATTCAGGGACCCCCTCCCCACCCTTTGGGGGATCTGAACTGCTCTGAACTCTGGTCTGAAGAGGCCGGGGTAGAGGGGCTGTGGTGCAGCCCCCCCCCACACACCCCATTTTAGGCTGGTTAAGTGTCCCTACCCACTGTCATTCCCACCATCCCCAACCCCACCCCATAAGCCCAGGGAAGGCGCCCCTCCCACTCCGGTTCCCAGCTTCAGCACCAGGGCTGCCATTTCATTAAAATCCACTTTGCTTCAAGTGCGGGAAGGCGGCTCACCATCTGTCCAGGCAGGCAGCCCCTCCCCTCCGGCACTCCATCAACTGGGACACTTGTCCCCTCCCAGAAGGAGCCCTCCCCCCCCATGGTAGCACGGGCACTGGAGCCAGTCCGGGCTCCTGCCCTTGGCTCCCTGGTGTGGGTGGGCACAACCCGTCTCAGGCCCCCTCAATCCACAGGCTTGTTCTGGACTCCAAGGCCGCCCCAGAAGGCCGAGCCTTTGTGCCCTTCCTCTCTGAGAGTCTCTGGGGGCTGACTCTTTTGTGGCGCATTCTCCATCTCATTTGCATGTGGTTCATTAAATATAAACATGCATAAAAATCCCCCGCCCTGCCTCCTCCTCTTTCAGGGCCTCCTGGGAGTGCAGCTGATGGGTGTGAGCAGGTCCTTGCACATGTGTGCAAGGCTGTTTCCTGGGAGGATGTGGCTGTCTGCATGTATGTGGTCTGAGTGTCTGTGGCTGGGTATGAATGGGGATTTGTATCTCTCACCTCCTGTGGCTAGTGTATGATCTGGGACTGTGCAGATAATCACACGTGTCCTCATGTAGGTACAGTCCTTATAAAGTGTACCTTGGGGGCCCTTGTCTGAGCAGGAGGTGAGGCAAGTACCCTAGCTGGTGTCCCCATCCGGCTTGGTGAGAGGATCCCCCAGAGAGCACTGTGAGGTCAGCCTGCTCTGTCTCAGGCCAAAGCTGTGTTTGGCCAAGAACCTGCAGGTCAGCCCAGGGGCTTGGGAGAGGGGGCCAAGGCACTGGCGGGCCCCCTCTGCTGCCTCCAGGCCTCAACCTCCAGGAGGGCAGGGCTGGAAGTGGGTCCAGGGAGTGGAGAGGGCACCCAGGCACCCAGGTTGGCTGCCTGTGCGCCCTGGGCTCTGTCCATTCAGGAGCTGGGGAGCTGCCTCCCCCCTCCTCACTCCAGCTGGAGAAGAGCTTGCAGCCCCCCAGGGACCTGGGGCGGGGACTGATGGCTCTGCTGACTACAGATGCCGACTCATTAAGGAACTGACTCCTTTTGTGTTTCTAGCCCCAGCCTGGGCTCCCCGGGGGGCGCCTAGAGCCAGAGGCTGGCCTGAGGAGAGTACTAGGGGAAGAGCTGCTTCTTAGCAGGGTGCTAGGGATGGAGAAAATCTGGGCTCCTCCGCCTCACCCCGCCTCACCCCCACAACCTCCCCCTAAAACTAAACAGGGACAACAACAGGGGTTGAAGGTGTGCCGGGAGGGAAAGGCTCAAGCAGGACGTGGGCACAGGTAAGAAGCCAGCCCACATTCATACAGTGGACAACAGGACTCCTAAGGGTCCCCTGGGAGGCCCTTGGATGCCGCTGAGCCCACTCTGCCCAGGGCTCTACATTTCCCTTCCACCAGAGCAGCCCCCCACCAGACCGTCTATTAGCTTTACTTAACTGCCAAACATTTCATTTGAAGGGCAGCTTTGCCTTTGAAAAAGTACTTGAGGGTAGCCCGGGTGGCTCAGCGGTTGAGCACCACCTTCAGCCCAGGGCGTGATCCTGGAGTCCCGGGATCGAGCCCCACGTCGGGCTCCTTGCATGGAGCCTGCTTCTCCCTCTGCCTGTGTCTCTGCCTCTCTCTCTCTCTCTGTGTCTGTCATGAATAAATAAATTTTAAAAAGATAGATTTTTTTTAAAAAGATAGAGGCAGAGACACAGGCAGAGGGAGAAGCAGGCTCCATGCAAGGAGCCCGACGTGGGGCTCGATCCCGGGACTCCAGGATCACGCCCTGGGCTGAAGGTGGTGCTCAACCGCTGAGCCACCCGGGCTACCCCAAATTTAAAACCTTTAAAAAATAAATAAATAATTAAAAAGTACTTGAAAACCACTCATCTGAAAGCCAACCCCTTCATCTTATGAAGGGGCCACTGAGGCCCAGGCCCTCTGTAGGGGATCCTTAGCTCTCTGGCAACTTTGTCACTCTCCAAGGGCAGGTAACCCCAGAGTGGACTGCAGGTCAGACCAATCTCTTCTCACTGGTTGGGAGTTGGCACCATGTTACAGGTTGAGGGAAGATAAGCTTTGGAGGGGCTCCCATCCCTTGGAATCCAGCTGGGTGCACAGGTGTACTCTGGGGGAGGTGGGTGCAGTAGGAGGGGTGGTCCTCTCTACCTGAGGCTCCTTCTTGCATCACCTAGTCCTCACACCCCTATCCAGCCCTTTGGTCAGCCCTATATCTTCCTGAGATGTCCAGGGGGGTTGCCCTGAGACCCTGGGTACACAGTGTCACACACCAGTCTACTCGTCTATAAAGAAAGGGGAACTGGTGCTCCTCAGGGCCCTTCCAGCCAGGACTCCCACTGCTTCCATGAACAGGCCCTTGTCTGCACCCACAATCTTGCAGCCACTCCTCATTCACAGGCAACATTTTTTTTTTCTTTAGGAAGTGGGAGAAAGTTTCTAGGGGCCACTTAGGCTTCCTCCCACCTCTTGAGGTGGTACAGATTTGGTTCACAAGTTGGTTTTTGCCCTGGTTTGTGCTAGCAGGCCACAGAGTCGGAGGGAAGACGTCCTTCATCATGTCTCTCTGGGGACAGGATTTCTGGGCAACCATGGGCACACATGCCTGAGGATGGCAGCTTGGAGGCATGCTGAGCCCTGAACAAGTCATCCTGGAGGCCACGGTGTGATGGGTAATGGCATGCACAGGTTACTGGTGCAGCTGGAGACACTGTTTGTGGCCAGTGTTGGTAGTATCGTGTCCATGGCGGGACCCACCACCCATGAAGGGGGTGCTGTAACTTGTAGGGACTGCTTCGGGTCCCTCACTTCAGGCTGGGTAATGGGCAGTGGCTTGGAGGCCCTTCCAGTGTGAGGGCCAGACAGAGCGACAGGCGGACAAAGGCCTGCTTGGGGCCCATTGTGGAGAAAGCATCTTTGTCTTTTCCCAGTCCCTCTCTGCCCCCACTGCGGGTACAGCCAGGGGTGAGGCAAGATGGGCAGAGCAAGCCCAACAATCCTCGGGGGTGGAAGGGAGCGGGAAGAGGCAGGAAACAGCTCCTGGACACCCCCTATAAATCACCCAAGGGGAGGTGGTCTCCTGAGAGCCAGATCTAGACCAGCTTGGGGAGGGGAGGGAGGACTTTCCTCCTGGTCCAGGACCTCTGGCAGGGTCAGGCCTGGATCTGATTAGACAGGCTCCAGGGGGACGCTGGGGGGCAGGGAAGGGTCGAGGCAGCAACCCCCAAGCCCAGCCTCCCACTCTTTGACTATGGCCACATTCCTATCCGATATATATGATGACAAAAAGATCAGCGGGCATGTTGGGATGGAGAATTCAAAACACAGCCTTTACAGAGCGGGTGGCATTAGGGGTGTGAGACACCACCTCCTCCCCTCCCCTGCCCCAGCCATTCAAAAGGAACAACCACAAACAACAGCCGCTTCTGAAGGCCACTAAGGCAATCCCCTCCTTGTATCCATTCCCGCCAAGGATCCGGATCACCCTGGATGCCTAGCTCAGGTGACTGTAATGTTTTTCCTTACACTACAGACATGCCTGAAGCCCCACTGCTTCTACTCAATACCCCATCTCCTCTAGAATCACAGACTCCAATACAGTAGCCAGCTATTAAGCACTTGAACTGTGGCAAGTCCAAACTGAGACGGGGTGTGAGTGTAAAATACACCCTGGAGTTCAAAGATTGAGTGTAAACTAAAAAGACACTTGCATTAGGGAAAAGCAAATCAAAACCAAAGTGAGATACTACCTCACACCCATTAGCATAGCTACTGTCAAAGCAAAAATAGAAAACAAAAAAATAACAAGATAACAAGTGTCGGCAAGCATATGAAGAAGTTGGAACCCTTGTGTACTGTTGGTGGGAAAGTAAAACGGTGTAGTATGTACAGTATGGCAGTTCATCAAAAAATAAATAATAGAATTAGCATATGATCCAGCAATTCCACTTCTGGGTACAGACCTGAGAATTAAAAGCAGGATCTTGAAGAGATATTTGTATCCCTGTGTGCATGGCAGCATTATTCCTAATAGCTAAAAGGTGGAAGCAGCTGGAGTGTCCATCAGTGGATAAACACAA